CCTTTCCTCCCCTCTCCTCCCCTCTTCCCCATTCCCCCCACAAAAAAATTCCCTTTCTCCGTCTCCCTTTGCCCCTCACCCCTCTAAAAAAAAAAAAAAAAAAGGAAAAAAAAAATAACAAAAAAAAAAAATTGAAAAAAAAATAGATAAAAAAAAATATAAAAAATAAAATATATATATATATATATATATATATATATATATATATATATATATACAGAACTCTCAAAACTCAATAGTAAGAAAACAAAGTCATTATTTTTTTAATAGGGAAAAGACTTAAACAGACACTTTACCAAAGAAGATATATAGATGGCAAATAACCACTAAAAGATGGTCAAAACTATTAGTCATAAGGTAAGTTGCAAATTAAAGTCATAAGATACTACTATATATTCACTGGCTAATTTAAATGACAGACAATACTAATTGTTGGCAAAAATGTGGATGAAGTAGAACTCTCACATACTGTTGGAATACAAGATAGTATCAGCCACTTTGGAAAACAATCTGACAGCTTCATTTAAGTCAAAGAGACAACATGAAATCAAGCATCCCCACTCCTAGGTACCATACTACCCTCCCAAAAAAGGAAAAATATGTCAACACAAAGAGCTGAAAGCAAATGTTTATAGTGAGTGGCTTTATTCATCATCACCAAAAACTGGAAACAAACCAACAGAGGAATGGATAAATTGTAGCATGTTCACAACATGAAATATTACTCAACAATAAAAAGGAATGAAATATTGATATATGCAACAAGTGAATGAATCTCAAAAAGAATTATGCTAAGTGAAAGAAATGAGACACCCAATCACTTCATCATTCCATTTATATGACATTTAGAAACAAGTATCAGATCATATACAATTAAGGACTAGAGGGAGGGAAAGGGGATTATAAAGGGAGATGAGAGAACTTCTAGGATGAGGGAAATCTGTATCTTGATGATGGTGGTGGCTATTTGACTCTATGATATATAACATTTGTCAAAATTTATTTTTTCTTATAAATTATACCACAAAAAACTGATTTTATGAAATTTAAAAATACAAAGTTTTTGACCCAGACATCCCACTTTGAGAAATCTACTCTACAGAAGGAAGTGTGCCAACATGTATTTAATTATTTAATTATTGTACATTGATGGGAAAATAAATAAAGTTATATTATATTTAATCCATAGAATGTAATCCAAATATTTTAAAAGACCTGGAAATAGTCCTCTGAGCATTATGATTTATGGGAAATGAAAGAACAGTTCTTGTTCCATTTCTTTGAACCCTCTGCTCAACTAAAATTAGAAGAATGGGCCACAACAGGGAAGAATGAGCTTCTTCTGCTCAATTCATTTGCACAGTAACACAGTAAAGCTGACCATCAGGATCCCAGTCCACTTTGGAACATAAGACTGAAAAAGGAGGTACAAAACAAAAAGTGGCACCATTAACATGAGAAGAGTCCTCACTAGAAAGCATCTTAGGTAATGCCATCCATTTATAATGGTTTCCTTTGAGGCTGCCTCTTATAGAGGGCTGGCTATGACTTGACAGCCTAAATAAATTTTGTTTAAATTTGACCTCATTTCAAGATCATTCACTATGCTCCCTATACTATGAAGAATAATGTACAAATATGACATTCCTTGCCCTCCAGAAGCTTATGTTCTAAACAAAATCCTAGAAAATACATTGCCCTTTAAAGCTAACTTTTTCATTTAATTATAGGAATCTACCACAAAAGCTGAATTTACACCTCAAGAAGTATGGGAGTGGGGCAAGGATAAGGGGAAATGAGTAACTGAATCTGAACCTATAAAAGTTATTACTTAGCTGTCAAATTATCCCAAGTGAATTCATTCATCATATACACAGCAGAACATTCCCAACAAATATACAGAACATTATTACATTAAGAATCATGAGAACACAAAGAAATGGCAGAACAATCTCTGTCTTTTCTTAAAAGCTCCAGGACAAACTGGAAGCTACAGGACAAGCATACACCCATGCTTTTTAAGTCAGTGTAAAAAGTGCAGCATGTTACTTGTCACCTTTTAAAATAATGCAATCACTGATGTTCTATTGATATTACTCCATCACCTTCCCAAAACCTTGGAGTTTATTTCAAAAACCCTCTAGATTAGGTAAGGCTAATATTATTTCCATTGCTATGTAAATCATTCACATGAAAACATTATGCTTAATATCAGGCAAAAATACAATCCACTTTTCCAAAACTATGATATAAGGAGTAATACTTGAATAAGACATACATATTAAAGAATTGTTATTAGTTTCTGTTAACTGGCTGTCACAAGGACTGCAGAGTTGTTCTCCTTTACTGAATAGTCAGAAGACCTTCAAAGCTAGAATAACATTTGCTTGTGTCTGAGGGGTAGCTGTTTAAGAGAGCTCATGGGCTGGAATGCAGAGTATGAAGGCATGCCTCTCACCTCAACACTGATGGTAACATCAGCCAAAGATGGAACATCTAAGAACAAGAGCTTGCTAGTGAGGTGGAGGGCAACAACCATCATTTTTAATATGCTTTAACTCTCTGACATTTCACTTTATCAATTTTCTACTATGCTGACTTTGTTTTTTCCCATACTATGATCTTAGTTATCCAATTTTAAAATAAAGAATATACCACAACTGACCAGGAAACAATAAAGATACCCTGCTACCCATATACATGAAATTCTGTAAATAATTGAAGAGAAGGGTTGAGAGGAGGGCAGAAGCGTGAAGAAAATGAGCTCTTTCTGAGACTTTGGGAGGCCCAGTTTCTTCATCTTGTCCCACATAAATACTTGCACTGCAGACATTTCAAATATTATGCCAGAGTTACACAAAATAAGTGGAACATCACCAAGCAGAAATCCTAGAGTAGGTGTTCTGAACATGTTGGTAAAGAAAGTCACTTCACTTGAGAGGTCTCTGCCCCTTCAACCTCACCCTCCTTACCAATATACATTCATCACTGAAAAGGGAAATATTTACAAAAGTTAGTTTAGTTATGTTTAAATATTATGTTTAGCTGTCTGGAGACCATGTTCTCAAAATTTATACAAGAAATCAAGGATTAAACTTCATAACAATTAGGAAACCACACTGTGTAAAATCAAAGACTTAGTTAAAGGACATTAAAATAGTTACCATTGGTGCTAAATTGAAGTGACTGCATCTCTTCCCAACACCTGGAACCAAAACCTTTTGAACTTTCATGTAAACAAATTGGGGCATACCAAATGCTCTGTCTGTAGCCAGGTACCACCTCTGTACACGCATTTGGGTGAAAAATGTGGAAAATGCCTGAGGACTCTTTGAAGCAGCTTAGGAGAAGTGAGAGCAGGAAAGAGGCTCTTCTCTGGGGTAAGTTTATTTAGTGGAAAGTAAGCAAGTTGTCAGGGTAAAAGTTGACAATGTTGATTCCAACAGTTTGAACTGCGAATAAACATCCAAAGGGATTATGTTACTGAGAATTAGAAAAGATTCCATTGAACTCAATAGAACACTTGTGATTTCAAAGATAATACGCCTTCAAGCCACACTCTGGATCCACAGTTTAACGTTAGAATTACCTTAAGCCCTTTCTATGCCACATTAAAGAACATGGGGTCTGACCTCTTTAGTAAGGACCTAAAATTAAAACAAGAACAGGATAAAAATATTTCATTTCTAATAACTGAATTAGAAAATACTAAATACATGTACATTTGTATGCCTGAGATAGAATAAAAAAATTTGGATTTAAAAAATCTATGTTCTTCCCAAGCATCTAAACTTAAACAGTTACACTAACCAACTTAGGGAAGTAATGCATTGGCCATAAATCACTTGAGTTTTCCCTCTTAATGATCTATCAAACAGCAAAAAAAAAACAAGGCCTATACTTATGAAATCCATAATCCTCTTCTCTGCTCACCAAAGCCACATTTAAATCTGGCTTTCATCTCATGCTGTTGGATTTTCCACCAGGTATAAGATGAAAAGCTGGAAGAGACTTGTGCTTTTTCTAAAGCAAAACAATTTGGTTGCCACAGCAATTCCTGGTGAAATGCCAGGAAGCCTATAAAAAAATTAAAAATTGTCCTAACTTGGAGTTTACAAAAGTAAGTGTGAGATGTTCATAGCCTATCAGACATTCCATCTCTTTATTTTTTAAAAATTCATAAACAAGGGGAAAGAGACACTTTTGATTTGTTAAACTTTATTTAGATCAATATATGCAGGTATGTCTTACATGCCCTCAAGAAAACGAAGGTAACTTAGCTTTTCTTAATCCATCTTAAGTCCTCCATGATTCTCACTTCAGAGTCGTTGTTAAAATCTTTTCCAAAACTTGAAAAAAGCATGCAACTCACATGCTCTTTACCAGCCAAGTTTGCAGGCAGCCCTGCAAAAAGTTGCTTCTCCTCTGAGCTCTCACACAAATTCACTTCCCTCCTTGAACCAAGGATGTAAGGGAGTATGGCTGTCTCATAGCCTCTTTGTTCTTAAAAAGAAAATCAAATTCTCCAGATATTTTCAAACTCCACCAGGAATAGAACATTCTCAGCTCAGCCTGTGGATCATTATCTCTTTTACATTTTATCTTTATGTTCCCTGGGTTCATGGAAAGGGCATACACAGAAAGAGGAAAATAGCTGCTTCTTGACACCAAATTTAGTAATTCTTTCAAATCTATTGGCACACATCTAAAAAGTCGTATTTTTACAAGGATTCATTAGGTTTTCATTGGTTCTGTCTTTGGAGAACACACATGCTGAGTTGCCTATAACCTTAAGCCAAATACATCTGTAAACTACAAGAAATATTTTTTATAGGAAGACAAAAGTCATCACAATTTAAAAAGGGATATAGTGGGTGGAGACAGACAGATGTGGGCTCATCCACAGCCCACTTTAATATCTCCCAGGCATCAAGTTGTTAACTAATGGAAGCCAACAATCTATAATGCTCTAAGATTCCAGATGACTCCAATAACCTTACCTGTTAATATGAGATTACTGTAAGTATTAGAGAATTGCTCCTTTAGAAGAACAAGGTGCATCTGAGCTGCCTTCTCCCGTTGGAGCTCCAGCATAACATCAGGGTGCTGAGCAATCTTGCAGCCTTTCTGTTTATCCAGGGCAACATCACTTCGAACAATGTCTACAAAATAATAATAATAATAATAATAAATGCAACCAGCAAAAACAAAACAAAAAAACTGGAAAACTATATACAAATCAAAGTCTTCTTTCACCCAAAATGACAGAATTTATAACCTATCAGTATTTCATCAGAATGAAAAGATTTGTAAGTAAAGAAACCTGAAGAGCCTCCAACTTCATAATACATTCTGCAAGTTTCTCTGACCATTTCCAAATTCTTTGGCAGTTTCCATTTTATTACCTCACTGTAATCATTTAAGATTCTCACTCCTCTGTTCTACTCTCAGCTCACCTCTAGGACTTGGGCACTTCCTAGGGCCTTTTCTGAACTTTTACCATTCTCCATGGAAAAAAAAAATAATACAACTTTGTCTGAACACCAGTGATTATGATATTTCATCTATCTCATGCTGTAGGACCAGGTGGTAGCTCCTGCGTGTATATTCAGGATATGTGGCCTGTTTTCAAATTTACCTCCCAGCTAGCCCATTCAGTCCAAATTAGGGCTGTTATTCTGTGAGAGAGCTGCTCAGGATTTCTCCTGCTACCTTTCATGTGCCTCTGGCTGCATTCTGACTCATAAATAACTCTTTAAATCTGTAAGTATTTGTAGGCACTGAAGAAAGCAACAGGGTGAGTCATTTTACAGTTCTACCTCCTTCCCAATTATTTTCCCATTAGTAACAGGCTGCTTTTTATACCTCAGTATGATTTTCACTCAAAGCAGAAGTATCATCCAGAAAACAGTCTCTGCAAAAACAAACATTGTCCTAAAATATTTCCCGATTAACAGGGAGCTTTAATGCCCTAAAGTTGTTTACTTGTATAAATTAAAATATAATTCAGTTGACTATCATTGAAACAATTAATGTTTATCAACAGCAATCTGGATGACAGTCTAGAAACTTTCAAGTTTTGTGTAGCAAATTGAAGGGCTTTAAGAGAAAATGCTAAAAAATAATAATAATAATAATAATTATTATTATTATTATTATTATGAAACCAATGGCTTTGGAAGGGATAAAGTAATACCCATGTTGATTGTACCAATAAGAAAGATTTGGTTCTTTCAGCAATGCTCAAAGAGAAAATAGGATATGTGACATAAAAGACGGGACATTGTTGTACTCTTCAAACCCATCAACATAGTCCTAATAGAGAAGCCCAGCTATAAATACAAACCCAGGACAATGAGGGTTAGGATGTGTGTCACATAAAGATTAGTCAGATGTGGGAATGGTTCTTACTTAATCTTGGTTGAAAACAGAGGAGCTGGTTGGAAACAACGGAGTATTTATTCCTAAACCTATTAATGCCAATTTCTAGACCATCGTAGAAAACATGAGGAAAACTTATTACACCATATAACTGAATCCTTCCAATAATCCTATGAATGTGGCAGATATTGTTGACTAGCTGACCCAAACCCTACACACAATCCCCTCTCCTTTGCTTTCCTCTGCTACAGAGATGAAAACACGAAAATAAACAATTTCCCAGCTTTCCCTGAAGCAAGGGGTGACCATGTAATATAGTTCTGGCCAATGAGCTACAGACAGACATACTTAGGGTGTACTTAACCTTAGTGACAAAACCACACTAAGAGAAAACCAGGATATTTTTCCTTTAACCAGTTAGCCTTTCTCTATTCCTTATGTCTAAAACATAGACATGAAGCCCAGACTTAAAGAAGTCATTTTGTGGCAATGACTCAAGAAGCCAGAGGGCAAAGGACTACACACTAAGGATGATGAAATCAAAGACTGAAAGAGCCTAAGTCCCTAATGTTTTTACGGAGCTCCCATAGCTACCCTACTTGTCCTATACTGCCCATCTGTTGATATCTTGTTATGTGAGATATCAGTTTCTTATTTTCAAAATCCTGACCTGTTTTTATAATCCTAAATGATAAAGAATAATATTACTGTTCCTATTGTATATCTGAAGAAACTGAGGTCCACAAAGCTTAAGTGACTTGCTCAAGTTTATAGTGCATGGTCAGTCCCCAAATCCAGAAATTTTCAAAGCTAATCCAGTGATCTTTCCAAAAGTTACTTCTACATAGAAACTCATGAACGTAACAATAAAGTATGGTAAATAATAAAAGTGAGGAACTAAAGAGAAAAACCTAATTATACTATTATAGCAGCATACCACAGATGGTCTATCTAGAAAAGAAGTATGTATGATACTTGCCCAGAAAACATCACAAAACTTGTACCAAAACATACTATATAGAGTGAAGAGGAGTTTAAATTATTCAGATATCTTCTAACAGGAGTCTGACACAAAAGTAGAACACCAACCAAACTCTCTATTTCCTATGTAATAAATGTCTTGCTCAGAAGGCAGAGAAAGCAAATATTATAACTGATAGCCTCAATATCATTCCAACCAGAACCTTAAAATGAAGTGACCATATTATCTAAATAAGAGGAAGAAAAGAAAACCATGGGCATGGCCAAACATATGTCTGAGACTTTAGAAATGTACACAACAACAATGTTTGGGGAAAAAATAGATACGCCTTACAGATTCTTTATTCAACCTTGATCTGTTTGAAATTGGATCAAAGACTAGATAAACACACAAAAAAAGGTACTTACCAAAGATGTATGTGGTCATATATATCTGGAGGAAGAGTTAATATTATAGATGGCAGATTAAAAATTCAAAATTATCTTGACAACCTAGAAACCGAAGCTGAAATCTCCAAGACATAGACATGAACACAAAGTCTTGCATCTATACTGAAAATTAATTACATAAGAGGGTAAGGCCAGACCAGACAGAAGCTCAAATATATAAGATCTTACTAAGTTTTATAGGTTTTAGTTGAATGCAAACTTCATGTAAGCCAGTAATATGCTGCCAAATATGATATGGCTGCCAAAAAGATTAACATAATTCTTAGACTAAATTAATAAAATGAGAACACCCAGAATATAGGAAGTAACATAGTCACCCTGAATTCCATGCCAGCAAAGGGCAGCACAGTTAAGAGTTGGAGTTAAAGCAGACCTTGGTTCAAATTCTAGCATGGAGGTTACTTACTAGCTGCAGAAGTGACAGACAATGCCTCTGGTAAGCCTATTTCTTAATTCTGTTATTGTCAAGAGTCAAGATTTAACACTATATGTGCCACATAATAAAAATTCTATTAAAAGAAGCTATTACTATTTTTATTATTATAATACTCTATTTTTAGTATTGTATGTTTTCTACCTGTAATAGTTTCTCAGGATAATCTAGAGCCCACACAAAGAAAAGTGCCAACATGGGAAATAATTTTATTTTTTTAAAAATAGCTGAAAAAACAGTGTTGAACCTGGCAAAGAAAACATTAAAGATGACTTGCTTCATACAGAAGAGAAAACTGACTTATTCTGTATAAATACAGAAAGCCAAACATTACAGGAGTAACCAAAAGAAATACTATTTAGTTTCACAAGAGAGAACTCTAACAACAGAAGTGGTCATATAAGAAAAGGAGCTACTTGAAAATGGGGTGAGTTTCCCATCCCTGGAGATATTCAAGCAAAGACTAAGTGACATGGGCACAATAAAATGATTTCAGTATAGTCATTAAAGCCTGCCAAGTACAGGGTTAAATTACTTTCACCAACAATATATGAGGCAATATAACAGATATTAAAGGCAGATGCTTTGAATTCAAACATATACAAGTTTAGATCCCAGCCTATCACTTACTTCCTGAGACTCTTAGACAAATCATTAAATCTCTCCTTTCCTAATTTTTCAAAATGAGAGTATTAATAGCATTATCTGTAATGAGCTTACACAGACAGTTACAGGGACATATTGGACATTCAACAAGTGCTGGTTGTTTTAAAGGGTGTGAATAGTAATTATATTTATATTGGGAAGTTGTTACTGGAGGGTATTATATACCTTTAGCTCATTTTTATCTCAAAAATTTTATGGCTCGACAAAAACTTATGCTTTTGTCAGACATGATAGAAAAAACAAGGATTCATAGCCAGGAGATTTAGGTATGAATTACAACTACTTTACCAATTAACCATGAAACTATAGACTAAAAATTTAACATCCTGTTGGGGAAACCAGGTGGTGGGTATTAGAGAGGGCATGGATTGCATGGAGCACGGTGCGGTGCAAAAACAATGAATACTGTTACACTGAAAAGAAATTTTAAAAAAAATTAAAAAAAATAAACTTAACATCCTTGTTCCTTGGCTTTTTCCTGTTCTACCAAATGGGAAAAGTTGATGGACTTGAATGACCTCTAAACCTCTATCCTCCTCCTACTAGCTTTCTCCTTCTCGCTGTTATCTTTTATTGCTATGCGATCAAAGTAGTTCCAAAGGACAAGCTATCCATACGTCATCTCCTCATCTGCCCCATGGTCTTTATTCTGATATTGTTCAAGGATGCCAAAAACCCAACATATACCTTGAGGGAGGCAACAAGGGAGAAAGCATCCTGAACCAAAACTGATACCCTAACATCAAGTTATTGCCTATGAGGACTTGTGGACATGTTAGTATGATCATGTTTGTATTTTTGTTCTTGCTTCTTTCTGTGATACATCCTTCTCCATTCTTTAATCAATTAGTAACCCACAGCTGTATTAGCCTAAGGTTGTAGTTTTGGTTGGTGTGAGTGACAGACTAGCAGACCAGACAAAAATTTTAATAGAGAGATCCTAGAACTTTGAAAGACATAAAAATGAGCTATATAACTTTGCCATGCATCTCTGGCTGACTGGGAGGCTGGGCGCACATACAGGGGATATTCAGCATAGGATTTTCCACACAAAACTGGTTAACTGGGAAACCATACACAAACTCAAGAGGTTGGGAGGAAAGTAAATGGTTAGGCAGACTTAAAAATTATCATAAAACTGAACATTTTTACCAATCCCCACAGAAATCCATCAGCAGAAAGCCTTAGGGATTAGTGATTCAAAGTGTCTGAAACACAGCTACTGAACAATCACTGGGTGATCATTAAGCT